CCCCCCCCGTTTGTTTTCCGAAAGGTAATCGAGATGTGGATATGTTTGTTTTGTGTGTATGCAATGTTTCCTGAATCATTTTCACCGAGTTCTGCTAAGACCCTTTCCTAACTTTTCCTAACTTTTCTCCATGCCCTCCCTCCCCCTTCCCGCCTTTCGCTTCCTCCTCCTCCTGGTGGTTGTTCGCCATTTTTCTGGGTTCCCTGTTTGCTGTGTCCTGTTAAGTGCAGTATTCCTGGTTTCTTGTTTGGGATACTTGTCCACTTGAGCACGTTCACAGCAACTTGCCTAACCATTGATGGTGCCGACGTAAGCATTGTGGTAATGACTGAGAGAAGGGAGGGTTGGCGTTTATCTTCCTTTTCCTGTCGTCTTCCGTCCTGCTGTGATGCGGTTATGTTCTTTAAGTTTCCATGTCTGTGTTGCTTGTTCTCCTTCGCGCCTTTTGTCTGGCGCCTGCTTTTTCGGTCTGTTATCTCTGTTGTAACACTCTCCTGGCTGCCGAATTTTGTTGGTTTGTGGTAATGGTTGAGAGAAGTGAGGGTTTGCCTATATCTTCCTTTTTCCTGCCTTCTTCCAGTCCTGCTGTGACGCGGTTATGTTCTTTGAGTTTCCGTGTCTGTCGTGCTTGTTCTCCTTCGTGCCTTTTCTCTGGCGCCTGCTTTTTCTGCCTCTTATCCTCGTCCTTTTTCGAACGCTCTCCTTGCTGTGGTAATGATTGAGCGAAGGGAGGGTTTGCCTATATCTTCCTTTTTCCGGTCTTCTTCCAGTCCTGCTGTGACGCGGTTATGTTCTTTGAGTTTCCATGTCTGTCTTGCTTGTTCTCCTTCGTGCCTTTTCTCTGGCGCCTGCTTTTTCTGCATCTTATCCTTGTCCTTGCTCTAACGCTCTCCTTGCTGCCAAGTTTTGTCGGTGTGGTATGTGCAATGCACGGGTGGCAGCACCTGTGGGCGAAAGGCAGAAACTGTCCTAATAAGTTGTACATTCTGATCAAGCTCCATGCTTGCTTCTGTGGTGTGCAGTGCTGTGTATCTGACTCCGGTGTGGGTGATCTCTGCCTAATTAGGTGCCGGAGATTGGTAGCAGAAGTTTAGTCAGTATTAGTTCCCAACGTGTATGTGGTCCACGGCTAGACCCACTGCCAATCCATTTTCAGTGACAACTCGAAGGCTGAATGTGTTTCACTGGCGTGCTGTTTTGGCGACTGGTCACCAGAATGGGGTTGAGCAACTGCCTAGTTAGTGTAGGTATGAGATGACAAGGAGCCGGGAGTCGTGGTGCAAGCTTCACATTCACAGTGAATCAAAGGTGATTGACATGTGTTTGTGCACAATCAGGAAAGGCGTTGTTCATTTTTAAGCTAGGGCGAGGCTTTGTGAGAGTGCTATAGACTCCCCAAGGTAGATGGCTCGTTTGTTGTCTCTGGTAGATTCTGGACGCAAGGTTCCTGAAGGTGTGTGCATTCGTTCTCAATAAAAATCCTTTGGGAGGTTTGTCAAGCATCGTTGCTGAACAGCTGACATAGTATCTCATGGCAGCTTTGGGTGCCGTGCAGCGTATTGTAAATGGTTTATCTTTTGCAGGTCATTTTGTGGTTTATGTTGCTATCCATTTGATTCAACTGTGTTTTCATCATGGTTACGATCCGAATCTCAGTCCAGACCGCCCGCGTCTGGATGTGCTGGCGGACGTCCGGTTTGGTAGGTCGAAAATTTTTATTTATTATAATTTTATTTATTTTTTCTGGTGGTGGTGGTGGGGCGGGGTGGCGGTGTTCAATGACCGCCTTTCAGAAAGCCAAAGAGGGCTCTGCTGAGACTGATTCTGGTTGCGAGAGAGAGAGAGGGGGAGAGAGAGAGAGAGAGAGAGAGAGAGAGAGAGAGAGAGAGAGAGAGAGAGAGAGAGAGAGAGAGAGAGAGAGAGAGNGAGGTGCGGAGGCAGGATACAGCCTTGAGGTAGGTATGGCCCAATTCACTCCCTGACTGTAAACCTTATGTAACCTCCTCTTCTTCTTCTTCTTCTTCTTAATTATTCTGGATCCAGACGTCAGTCCGGTCGGACATCTTGCTGTGTCCGGATGTGGGTCCGGCGTAACCATGCTTTTCATTCATGGTGCTGTGTCTGCCATCCTTGCAAATGAAATCATCAATCACTAACAATCAGCAGGGTGGAAAAGAAAAATAATTCAGTCACTATCAGCGAAAGAAAAAGAAGCTGCAATTCTGAATGACCTACGCCCGGTCAGTTCAAATGATGATATCTCAAAAGGCCATATCTGAATGCTACTTGCCTCATGCTGCCTGAGAACTGAATAGGTGGTTTTTACGTGTTTGGGTTGAACTTGGAAGCATTTGAACAAGTCTATTGGCAGTCTGGGGATTGTGTGCCGTTTGCTGGAAATGGTCTGTCAAAAACCATTTTGGCTAGATATGCCCATCTTGCCAATCTGAAGCATCACTTGGCATTCGCAAAGCCGGCGTTCAGGGTCGAAAGAGACATGGAAGAAAAAAGAAGTGCACTGCATCAGACAGTTAAAATTTGGACGTTCTGTGCCGCCATCCTGCTTGCAGCTACCGCGACATCGCCGTACGCCTATCCTGATCCTTTCCTTTTCCCCATGGACTATTGTGAATATCCGAATGTGATATGAGCCAGGCGGTGTGCTGAAATTCTGTTTTGCTTTTTCTACATTTGGACCATATCTTAATTTATGGTCGTCATCCTTTCCGAGGGCCCATCCAATCTTCTTCGTATCATTACAATTTTTAAACCACCAGTACCTCTGAGCCTCTTTTTGTCGAGGTGGATTTCACCTGCACGTCAAGCATGGCCGAAACACCAGCATGACACTTTTTCTTTCCTTTTGGCTGGCGGTGCGAGGCATTTTGGTCCAGTAGCTCCCAGCCCCCGAATTTGTGGATTGGCTTGGTTGCGATTCCCAAGTTTGCCTGGGCGATGCACTGGCGTTTAATGGACGTGTCCTGAAGGATATTTTGAATATTTTCCCTCTAATTTGGCAGCGATGTTTTCCACCTTCTTATTTGGTCTCTAACTGCATTTATGATTTTTCACTATCAGTTCCCTTTTTCATTTCTTCATCTTATGAACTCTCTGGTGTTTGTGCAATATGGGAAACAGCCACCAACCTATACCTCTCCCCAACCAACCCATGGTGTAGATTTGCACCCAGAGTTGTTGTGAGAGTTGAGCTGTACCAGCTCCTCGCCATGCTGGACGTGGGACTGGATGGCATTGCTTGCAGGTAACTAGTAGTCTGTGGACAGACGCCCCACCTCCCCTTTTCCCTTTGCCATCTTATGGTAGCGGTGTCTAATAGCCTGCACCCAACTATGTTGTGGCTAAGGTCCTGCCAATGCCGGCCTGGGGGTCCAGTGGCCTGGCTCTAGATGGTAGAGCAATGCTGGCCAGGGGGTCCAGTGGCCTGGCTCTAAATGGTAGAGCAGGATGCATGCCCCTCTGTGGGAGTGGTTACACGCTAACTGGGACAGTATTAAAGAATCGATCACGTCCTGCCCAGTAATAAAAGGACTGTTAAGATCATTTCTCGATTTATGCATGTCATCCTTGTGCAGTGGCCATGCTAATCTTCTCTGTATCGTTCCAATTTTAACGGATGTCCCAAAGGACAATAAAACAACTGTTAAATATGTTCCCGGGTCCTGAAACGGTCGACTGGATGCAGGTGATGGAGGTCATAATGCTCATGGTCTGGAAGCTTAGGACACTTTTCCATACGACAGTTCACATAACAACAGCCAAATCCGGGTCAACCTGGATGCGTGGCAAATCAATATTGCCCTTGTCCTGCCAAACACGCAGCTTCTTGATGTACCTTTGCATCCCGGGCGGGGACAGAATGGCCCCCAGGCCATCCAACTCAAGACAGAACATAGCAACAACTATGCATTCCCCCGTATCCTGCGCCCGGCAGTTCACATCTCTCCCATGAACAGACTGCAGAACGAAGTGGAGGGGAGCAGATCTGGGAAGGAGATGGGATCGGAGGAATCTGCCCCGCAAGTTGTAGGCCTGCCCTCTGGAAACGACAGCACTGATAGCCAAAGTGAAAATGAAATGTGCTAGAGAGCAGGAGAGAGGCCAACCATACCAGACATGATATCTGTGGGCAAACAGGCCCTCAACACAGCTAATGTCAATGCACAGAGATGTGGTAGGGAGGAGGAGAGAGACCAACCATACCAGACCTGGAATCTGTGGACAAACAGGCCCTCCACAACTGGACGGTCAGAAGGAAGTGAAAAGAAGAAGAAGAAGAAGAAGAAGAAGAAGAAGAAGGATGAGCCAACGTGCTATGAGACGTTGATAACTTGATGCACCTCACGTAGACCCAGTCTAGTGAGTCACCGAGTGTGAGAAAACGAACTCAACGCAGATGTTGAGATCTTGTGTTCCATTGGGGTAAAGGCTAATCGCTAACTGCGGTGGTAGTAATAGTAATCCGGACCGGTGCTGATCGGATTTTGAAAATGACATTCGGTCCACCATACTATCTGATGACAACAGAGTGATGAGCGGTGAGGGGAGGAAGAGACAACTGAGAAAGATTGCTTACTTGATCATAAAGTTCCTGCTTGATGGGGATTAGTTGAACTCTGACAGGTAGACGACCCGAGTGTTGGGGTTGCCAAAGGATTGCATTTGTACGGGATAACTCGCTGAGTAGGGCAGGTTGAGCTCATACTCCCATATCTCATTATAACCCAGGGAGAAATGACTTGTAAAGCCTTAACGGGTGTCAGGGATGTCGCAACATGTCTAAGTGAACAGGACCCTTTTCCATTCAAATAAGATGTCCGTTGAAGCCCCAATGACAGGTTCACAGGATTGCTTTAACAAGATCAGCAAGCTCGGGACATAAATCTCCCTGGGACAAGTTTCACTGACATCTCAACTCTTAGAACTGCAAAAGGTAAAATAAAAAAAAAAAAAAAACGCCTTCAAACCCGGCGCAAGTAAGTGTGTGTGTGTGTGTGTGTGTGTGTGTGTGTGTGTGTGTGTATGTGTGTGTGTGTAAGGTGAAGATAGCCTCCTGTGTCTTCACCCCAGCACGGGGATAGCTGGATTCGGGGCAAAAAGTAGCATGGAGAACGCGGATGACCATGTGCCCCGTACTATCTTACCAAGCAAGAAAACTGTGAACGAGGGATAAAACCTTAGAACTATTATGTTCGAATGTAAATGGAAGCCGCCGTGTTGGAACCACAGGGAATGGCGACACCCCTTTGTATGGTAGAAATAGGAAACATTGCCCAATATCCTGAGTTGTGTTCAATGATGCTTTGTTACTTACCCTGACTTTTCTGCCATGGTTGGCCCGATGATCATCCGTAAGTTAACCCAATGAAACTCAGTTGACAGTGCCAACTCTATTTCCCCTTATGACATCCTACATCCATTCAAGTAATGCGGAGCAGTGCTTTCGAGTGGGTTCTGATTAGGTATTCGAGATTCTCAGTGAGAACCCTCGTTCAGCTTATGACCCCTGAGGCATTGTGAGTCACTCCCTACCTGTCATTGCTATTTGTCTGGTATGCAATTTGTGCAGCATGTCACTATCGCTCAGTCGGCACTCTTGAGCCGGGAGCTGTAGTCTAATCTCCTGCACCGCTCAGTGGTCGTCATTACTCAGTCGGTGAGCAAAACTGTTAACCCAGCAAAGAGGCTCATTCCTCTGGTGGCGATTAACCCTGAAGTTTTACAGAACTTACAGGCCTTATCCCTCCATATGAGCCGACGTGGCTGGTGGTTGTACTATCTCTTCTCAGCACCTTGTCAGGCCTCGGGTATAGGTGTCACCCTATGCACAAGGTTATCGTAACATTATACATGTGTTTGCAAGGACAAGATCTGATTCACCCTGGATTACCGATCACTCCCTTTCGGGGAGAATTAATCCTTAGTGGCAGACTACCTGATCGCACGCCTCATGCACTTAGTATCTCGGAACCCGGGACTCGGACAAAGTTCAGAGTACCTATACGTGGAGGTTTGCACTGAGCACGGAATGTTCTAGTACTATCGAGAGACATAGGAACTTTTCTAGTATTCAGGTTTGTCCCTACAGATTACAGATGGTCCTCGTATTGGGGCCTATCGGTTCAAGCACGAGTCAGACTCCATGTCTGGGGTTGTTGTGTTGGACGGGTTTGTGTAGTGAGTCAGAGAACTACGAGATGCATGCTAGCAGGTTTGGCAGTTAGAGTCTCCACACTTAACACGAATGAGCAGTGCCTAAATCGAACGCCTGCTACCCTGGTCATTCACCCTGACAAATCCTAGCAAAGAGGTACAGCAGAGAAAAGACGACCGTGTGCTCTCGCATTCCATATGAACGAGGTCTGTGTTGACAACACGTGCACTGTGCCCAAGTAAACAATCTGCCACAAGTAACCAAAATTTTCTTTGATGAACGGGTCTAAAAGTTGAACTTCGTACATAACGTATCAAAGTCATTGGTTTATCATAGAGACGATTTCGGGCAAAAGAAATTCTCATGGTGTGACGGGCGGTGTGTACAAGGCCTGAGTACATATTCACCGCGGCATGCAATAGCTGTCAAATAACACTCGGGTGACCAGAACAAAACTGAGAGTGA